AATTTTATTAAATTATGTGCAATTACTTAATTATTACACGATATTACTCAATTAAATATTTAATAAAAAAATGATTATTTTTTGATTCAGGCTGCTCTTTAACATATTACTTATATTAAAATAAACCTTAATTAAGTATTTTTTTGAATTCACTTACACTCCTGATTTATGAAAATTTGACAGTTTAATTTCTAGATGACCCTACCAAATCAATCACCTCAATGTTATTTACTAAAGAAATTGAAATATTTAATTTTCCCTTCCTTCTTAATTATTTTGAACCCTCAATTAAATTTAGTATGTTCTCAACTATCAATACAGCTAAACTCTTTTCTTAACCTCTTTCCTCGCCTTTTATAGTGTATTCTTTACCACTTTCAGGTCCTCCAACAATAAGTAAAGAACCTGATTGTCCATTTATCAAATTATTAACTTTAGTTGCCATCATTTAATCATAAAACAATTATAAATTAGCCTTTTCTCCAAACACCTGATCAAATTAAAGAGATCAGAATTCTCAATAATAGATTATCGTTATCGCATTATATCTGAATCATTTTTTAAATACTCATAGATTATCTTCTAAGATATTGCATTATGTGGGCTTGTTTTTCTGAGGCTTTTAATATATTAGAATATAAACGCTTAAGGTGGTCTTCGACTTCAAGCAATATTTATTTAAAGTGACAATTAATTTCTTTTCTCTTACATACATCTGTCAATCTTTCAGCTTATTTTGGTATATTTAATAAATAAATTCAATTAAATTGCATACTTAAAATTAAAGTAAAAGTTTTATACATCAATCGGTACTATTTTTATTATTTATTTTGGAATAATTTGAATTCCTTTTTATGATGAATAAAATTTTTATTCTATCATTGCACTATGTTTTATTTAGTATTGGAAATGGATTAAAAAATGCCTATGCACAAGGAATTAGTTTTTATAGTCATTATAAGCTTTATCTTAAATTTATTTTCCATCAACTTTTATTAGATTTTATTGTTGGAAATATTCAAAATGATAATATCTAATTAAATTGATAGACATTCTTTTCTAACTTTTTATTTAATATAAATTGATGAAATTAAAAATATTTATCATTTGAAGCTAAGCTATTCAAAAAATTTCATTTTAAATTTAGTTTTTCTTAGAATCAAAAGGAAATAAGGGTGTTGTTTATTTCCATTTTAAAATTACCCTAATACCCTTAAAATGATTTAATTAAGGGCTGTAGGGTGGTAAAAATATAAGTGAAATTATTTCGGATAATTAATAAAAAATTTTAGAATGATGCATGCTTGAATTATCTAAATTAAGTTTTAGGAATGATTTTTTCATAAATTATTTAATTCAATCAGTCAGTTTTGCTTCTCTAAGTGAAACCTGAAAACTAGAGTCGACAAGAGGTTTAAATGAATATATTTTCTCCATCCTTCTTTTAATTATAGAATTATTAAATTTATAATAATAGCATATTAAATTAATGCATTCATCTATTGTTAAACAATTAAAGTTTTTTGATTTTTATACTAATGAAGTTAAGTATTTTAGGATATTTGATATTAGGTTTGGAAAGCATTAATTTTATTATTTGACAACAATTTATTTGGGTTTCTGAATATTAACTATCATCTAATCATTTTTTTGTTATAAAAAAGATAGAAACAAGGCAAACGACTTCAAAAAAATCTATTCTGGCAAAACACAGTTTCAAATTTTGGAATTATATTAAAAAAATGTATTAATAGTATATAGTATTTTTAGATGAAATGAAATTTTCTTATGAATCAAAAAACTTTTATATTGGTAAATATTGTTTAAGAAAATTCTCAGAGCAATAGAAAATTTAGAGAATACTAAAATTTTTGTTATTTATTTGATTATATGCTGAATTTTATAAAATTTCAAATATATCTCAGAGAAAAAATAAGTGGATCATTCATATAATTCAAAGATGAAAAATTTATCCTATCAAAGAGTTTTGAAGAAATAATATTGATTCACTGTAAAATTAATTGAGTTAAGATCTTTGCTGCTTTTAAGTCTCTAAACATATACAATCACATTCTCTTTCCAAATAAATTTTAATTGTTGAAATTATTTTGATAATTGTTTTTAGAAGAGAAGTGGTGGAATAACAAAGCTGTGGATTTTTCTTTTTGATTAAATATTATTTGTATTATTGAAGATATTAATTCTAAAATAAAAATAACAAATTTAAAACTTGTATTTATAATTATTGATTTATTTGCTTATATTTTTATAACTCATTGTTCCTAATATTTTCTAATCTAATATTCTTTTGACCTGTAATCCAAAGTAATTAAATACTACCCATCGTCAGTCATACATCCCAAAATATCTCCAGTTCCAAACTCAATAGATTATTCTATTATAAAATCACAATTTTATTTCTTCCTTATTAAATTCACATTTGTTGCATACTTATTCACAAGGATACATTTTAATTTCATATATTATTAAGGAAACAACCACTTTTCTGAACCCCCTTTTATTAGAATATCCTTGGTCTTTGTATACTATTTATTAGTAATATTCATCTTATAAACATGCATGTATTCTTTTTAATAAGGTTAAAATGTAAATGTATTATCATCGATAAAGCATAATCGATTTCCAAAATTTTCCACAACAATCTTTTATATAACAATCCATAATTTATTTTATTATGATTGTTCTATTACTAAAATAAGATTATCTATTCCACAAGATATCAATTTATTTTATTATTCATTAAAACTTAATCCATGTAGATCATTAGTATGATCAGTGATTGTCTAAGAGCACAACCATCCATTTTACTTATACCAAAATTTAATTGTTTTATCATGACCACCAGATACAATAAGATCTTCATAATTATTTAATGCCAAACAAAAGATTTCACTTATATGTTCATTCAATTTCTATTAGCAAATCCAAGAATTTTTTTGATTTCTTATCCATATGATAATTGAACTATCTCGACTCCCTGATATAAACTGATCCGATCTCTTCATAAAATTTAAAGTATAAACATTATCAGTATGTTCATCTAAAATTGAAACCTATTTGAAGATTCCTTACTTAAATTAAAACACTTTAATTTATTAATTGCATCCAGCAACCATTAATGAAAAATCTTTATTAACTGCAATTGCATTACAATATTCATATTATTTAATTGAATATTACTTGATTAATTAATAAGTGAATGGTTTAAGATTTGATTGCATACTAGATTAAATAGTTTATGATGGTGGAATATTGATTAATATATTCACTGACTGTATTTCTTAATTGGTTTGTTTTCTTAATTCTAAATTCTATAAATTTTCTATAATTTAATTATATTCTATAAATTAATTAAATTATTCTAATTTAGGATAAACTTATGAAGTCCAACAAAGATTGATATTCTAAATATCATTCATAAAATTGATAAGTCGAAATCAGTATTATTTTACCTCAATAACATAATTTCTAATTCATGGTAATAACTATATTGAGAATATTATGATCTTTATCCATCTCATCATTATAGCGGTCAATTAATTTAATTATTGAATTACATTTGATTTCATTTGATCAACAATATTATATAATGATTCAATTAATTTTAATTCGTCACTTAAGATATTTTATACTTTTTCCATCTTCTTTACCTAATTTTCTTCAATTAATGAAATCATTTTTTTTAAACCTGTGGCATTGCCATCTATGTCAGTATTCTCCAAACATTCTGTGCACAAAAATCTCTAATCCCTTGATAATTTTGGATCCAGTAAAATTATAACAACTGGTAGCTTGTGTCCTTAGGAACAAAAGAAATCTTTCTCATTTTCTATCATTTTTGGTTTAACCATTTAATTTAATAATAAATTTATTGAGAATTTGATTTATATTTATCATGCGTATTTTAATTGTCTAAGCAAAAGATATATCCCACAATATTATATTTATTCCAGCAAGCAAACTTTGTTTTTAACTAGTTTTTTTTGGTGACTGTTTGCGATTGTTACTAACAGAATCATCGCCTGCAAAATTTGATTATCAATCGACTTCTTATAATCATATGTGAATAATTATTACAAGTTGATATTTAATTTGCCATCTATTCATATTTAGATTACAAATACCATTATCAATTGATTGAGTAAGTGTTTAATATTCTCTTATAAACGTAATAATAATAGCAATTTCTCATTGGAATAAGTAATTTTTTTTTTATGGATTGACCCATTTGTACTTATTATAATGAAGATTCTCATCCATTTTTTATGTTTAATATGGATATTTTTCATTTTCTTATAACTTCATTATGCTTTTCGACACTAGTACTTCCACTCTAGGGTCAAATATACAGTGTATTAATGTTAAATTAGAATAAAAATTAGCTTTTAAAAAATGAGTCTTAATTTTAAGATAAACCCCAAACTACTAGAAAAGAAATAAAGATTTCTGAACATTTTTTTTCCAATGTATTCTTTATTTCTTATATATTTCTTTATGATTCGTCTATTAATTCTTCTTCGTCTCATTGTTTTGATTGCAATTTCTAATGTTTCTCATTGCCCCTTTTTATTTTTTGAA